CTCTTGGGGGCTCCATTCTATTTTTTTTTTTTTTTTTTCACTTTTTCCCACTTTGACTCTTAATGGTTTTCATCTCTCTGCTGAAATTTCACATCTGTTTCTGCATGCTGTCTAACTTTTCCATTAGAGTGTTTAATGTATTAATCATAGTTATTTTAAATTTCTTGTCTGGTAGTTCCAATATCCGGGTCATCTCTAAGTCTTGTCCTGTTGATTACTTTGCTTCTTTGCTTTTTTTTTATTTGTTTGTTTGTTTGTTTGTTTGGGGGAGAGAGAGAATACCAAGCAGACTCCTTGCTGAGTGCAGAGCCTGACACGGGGCTTGATCTGACAACCCTGAGATAATGACCTGAGCCAAAATCATGAGTTGGATGCTTAACAACCCACCCAGGTGCCCCTGATTACTTTGCTTCTCGATAGTGGGTTGTTTCTTTTGCTTTTTGTTGTGTTGCTTGTAATTTGTTACTGATTGCTAGATGTAGGACTTAAAACAGTAGAAACTGAGGCAAGTATTTATTCTAGGTACATCTCTTCTTTTGCTAGGGTATTAGCGTGGGAGTTCCAGTCAGTTAGGAGGTGAGTTGGGTTTGGGTTTTGTTGTTGTGGTTACCTTAGGTGCACACGGGGGGCTTCAAATTCCTCAGGTTTAGGATGAGTTTGCTGGTGGGAGGGCTTTTCCTCAATGTTTATTATGCTTTACTCTCAGCTTTAGGTCTTTCTTTTGTTGCTGGGTGCTTGCTTACCTGCTGGTGGGGAGCAGGGATTCTCTGTTGTCTTGGTTCAGCCTCAGTGTTAGGCAGGCCCTGTTTTTCTGGGTCTGGGGGGAAGAGGGGTGTAGATCTTTCTGGTGATCCTGCCCTTGCCCCAGAGGTAGGATACTTCTAATGGTCCAGATCAGAATTTCCTGCCTTTCCCCCAGGCATAAAGGGGTGTTTTATTTTTCTTTTACTCTGCCCCAGCTGCCTTGGGAGGGACAGAGTTTACCACCCTTTCCCCAGGGGTGTAAGATTTTTATTCTTTAGAAAAAGGACTGGGTGGACCTTTGCATTTTTCCCAGAGTAGTGATTGCTTTCCTTCTCCAGACTAGCACTACTGAGAAGCTGTCTCTGGCCTCCTGCGTAGTATTTTTTAATGAACATCCAGTCTACTGAAGTCTGTGGAGAAAAACCTCTGGGTGTCTATGCTCTTGCTAAACCACACAAGACCTTTAGTAATTCATTAAAAATTGTACCTGAGTTCTTCTTACTTGCCTGCATGTTGGTCCCATCATTCTCCCTCTGCCACAGGTGAACCAGAGCTTGCATCTCTTCATGGAGGTGCCTGTTTTTCCTAAAATTTCAGTCTGGTAGGTTGCCCTGTAACCTCAGCTCTCTGATGGCTTCAAGAAAAGTTATGGTTTTGTAGATCGTGTGGCTTTTTCTTGTCATTGGAGTTGGAGTGATGCTTTTCCCAGCTTTCTATATCCTAAATGGAAGTTAGAAGTTAAGGCAATTCCATTTTATACTAATTTTATTTTCCAGTGAAATGAATTTCCCTCTTTCTTTCCCAGTGATCTTGTGATTAAATATATACTTGGTCTTCATCCCCTGTTTCTAGACACAGCTCCTATAATTTCCTATATAAGAGCCATAGGGGCATGTTCTGTTATAATATTTGCTTTTGTTCTCAATTCGTGAAATAGCTCCAGGGCAATGAAAGTGAAATGGTGTCTTTTGTTATTTATATAACAAGTCCCTTTCAACCCACTTCTGAGTTTATGTTAATGAGGTGATTTTTGGAAAGCATCCATATCTTCTAAGGATGGGGGCTAGTTGCTAGAGGAACCAACTGTGTGATTAGGCTGTTGGAACTTTCAGTCCAGTCTGACCTCTGGGGAGGGGAGAGGGGCTGGAGATTGAATCAAGCACTAATGGCTAATGATTTTAATCAGTCGCGCCTGTGTAATGAAGCCTCCATAAAACCCCCAAAAGGACAGAGTTTGGAGAGCTTTCAGGTTGGTGAACAGGTGGAGGTGCTGGGTGAATGGCTTGCCCAGAGAGAGCATGGAACTCCCCACCCCTTCCCATATGCCTTGCCCTATGCATCTTTTCCATCTGGCAGTTCCTGAGTTATATCCTTTTATACTAAACTGGTAATCTAGTAAGTAAACTGTTTTCTTGAGTTCTGTGAGCCACTCTAGCAAATTAATTAAACCCAAGGAGGGATAGTGGGACCCTCCAATTTATAGCCAGTCAGTTGGAAGCACTGGTAACAACCTGGACTTGTATTTGGCATCTGAAGAGGGGGCAGTTTTGTGGGACTGAACCCTTCTCTAGTAAAGCATTAACATGAAGACGGTTGGGAGCTTCCTGGACATTATACTCTGCCTGCCTCAAGTATTTGTCAATGGGCTGCAGGTTATAAGGACATTTAATTTTATCTACATTTCCTTCTGGAAGTTAGGTTATTGATAAGTGCTTTTTTCTCATAAATCACTAAGACATTTGTAAACTAAGGGAGACTCCTGTCCTGTAGGACTATAATCTCTATAAATTAACCATTTGTTTTTTCTTCCCTTAGCTTTAGGGCAGCCAAGAGTGCTGAGGAATGTCACATATATCCCACCTTGGGGGCGGGGGTTGTGGGGTGTCAGCTTGTGCTTTGTCCTCAGCTTGTCTTCTGCTCCCTCATCATCAGAATTGAGTTAAATTGTCTGGTGTTGCAGAATTGCTTAATGTGTAGAAAACCCATACATCTGGGGCGCCTGGGTGGCTCAGTCGTTAAGCGTCTGCCTTCGGCTCAGGTCATGATCCCAGGGTCCTGGGATCGAGCCCCACATCGGCTCCCTGCTCGACGGGAAGGCTGCTTCTCCCTCTCTCACTCCCCCTGCTTGTATTCCCTCTCTGGCTGTCTCTCTCTCTGTCAAATAAATAAATAAAATCTTAAAAAAAAAAAGAAAAGAAAACCCATACATCTGGTGTCAGAGGTCCAAAAAGAATATGTGGGAGCCCCAGCCTCCTCTCCCCATCTGGCTAGGGTCTGATAGAATAGAGGGGAGGCTGAAGTGGTCACTGGGACCAGGTTTCTCTGCTTGCTTCTGTGTTGAGATGGGTGGAAAAAGGCAATATAGGTCTCTCTGCACCTGACTCATATGAGAATATAGGCTCCTCTGCTATTTCCAGGTTTGTTTTCATGGTTGCTTTGGCTCACCTGACAGACACGTGAAAACAAGTATGTACCCACGTGCCTGTGCCTGCCTAGGGAAACCTGCATGGCTTGGTGCCAAGAGTGAAAGAAAGAGTGGTGCGCCTTAAAGCTAGGTCTCATCTAAGCAGAGGTAGGCTGGGAGTAAAGGAAGCCTTGGTAGTGCCCCAGAGGAGTTTTTTCTCTTGATCTCCAGTCCAGACCCTGGCAGGGGACCGGGACAGGTAAGGCAGGAGTTTTGGATGGAGCTGTGGAGACTGAAGTTTTCCCTGAGAACCGCTTACTCTTGAGTGGCTATGGTTCCCTCACTCTGAGCTCCGTGAGGTAAGGTTCTGGCACTTCCATCTTTGTTGAGTAGATGAGAGGCTTCTGGGAAGATGATGTGCTGATCTCATTCTTATCCCTGAAGTTATCTCTGTGACCTTAAAAGACTGATTCCTGGGTGGGAATCATATGGCCTATAGGATTCCTTTATCCAGAAGATGAGGTGGGAGTAAGTAGGTGATCTGAATTCCTGATTACTGGGGCACAGGAATTGAGAGTGCAGGTTCAGGAAGGTGCTTGTCTTCCTCTGACAGATTCTGGGTTTTTCATATATAGGTTGTTGTGGAATCTAACTTCTTTGAGGTTTCTGGACTGGCTCAACTCTAAACCAAAAGTAGTAGTGTGTGCCATCTCCCTGTGGGATGCCTTCTAATGCCAGGTCGGTGGATAAGAGAAGCCATGTAGCTCTGATTGGTTGTCAAAATTCCTGGGTCCTGTTCTGGGAGAATCTCTTTGCAATCCCAGACAGTAGTGAGGGCATGCTGAGGAGGAAAACAAATAAACTGATAGCAGTCAAGTCCCATGTTAGGGTGCCCTCTGGATGTTCTTTCTCCATCGGGTCTTAATTATATTCTCTCTTTTCTGGGCACTTTGGAAAAAGAGATGTATTGAATGGGCAAGTAGCAATGTAGGAAATAAGATTGATGTTGTAGACACAGCAACACACAGGTGTGTATTTTCATGAAGGTCCGTTCCTTATTCTAGTCTTTGCAATGGCCCTGGTCTTAGCATCTTCCTAGCCTTTCTCACCACCTGCTCATGTTCTTTGCTGGCCTGAGAGTAGCTACAGACTTGTCCACATGTTGCTGGATACTGCAGAAGTTCCTGTTTATGTTTGGGTGGAGGTGAGTGGGTGTGGGCAGTGAGAAGCCTATCAGGCTGACTAACCTGGCAGTGGGAGTCTGGTCTTTGCAGGACAGGTTTGTAGGTTTTAAAATGGTAAGACCAGGGCGCCTGGGTGGCTCAGTTGGTTAAGCGACTGCCTTCGGCTCAGGTCATGGTCCTGGAGTCCCGGGATCAAGTCCCGCATCGGGCTCCCTGCTCACCAGGGAGTCTGCTTCTCCCTCTGACCCTCTTCCCTCTCGTGCTCTCTGTCTCTCATTCTCTCTCTCAAATAAATAAATAAAATCTTTAAAAAAATAAATAAATAAAATGGTAAGACCAGACCAAAACCTGCACCTCAGGGAGAATCCATGCTATGGATAAACCTAATGCCAACCTATTCTTGGTGTCAAGCCAGGTACCTCTTGTTGGAAGTTGCCATCAGCTGAGCTCTCACAGTTATCTTTCTTGGGAACACTAGGTGTTTGCCTGCCTCCATTTATTTCTCTGTGTCCTGTGGTGGAAACGGAGATAACCTCATTATATTTAGGTCTGTGTGTAAGGCATGCTGTTCCTACATAAGAGGTTGGCTTTGCGGGTCTAAACCAGAGACTCACCAGCTTCTGCCCTAGACTGACATACTTATATTCTTTGATATTCTTTGCCAGGCCACAGTAAACACAAGTGAGAAGGAAACATTTGTCATGGAAGCCAGGGAGCTGGAGAGCCCCACTCCAACCTACCATCTCATTCCTGAGGCCAGCCAGCCCAAGGAAGATGTCAACATGCAACCTCAACAGACCGCAGAAACTATGCAGCTAAAGAAGGAGATCTCGCTGTTGAATGGGGTCAGCCTGGTGGTGGGCAACATGATTGGCTCAGGAATATTTGTCTCACCCAAGGGCGTGCTGGTATACACTGCCTCCTATGGGTTGTCTCTGGTCGTATGGGCCATTGGTGGGCTTTTCTCCGTTGTTGGTGCCCTTTGCTATGCAGAGCTGGGGACCACCATCACCAAGTCTGGGGCCAGCTATGCTTATATTCTAGAGGCCTTTGGGGGCTTCATTGCCTTTATCCGCCTGTGGGCCTCTTTGCTAATCATTGAGCCCACCAGTCAGGCCATCATTGCTATCACCTTCGCCAACTACATCATCCAGCCCTCGTTCCCTACCTGTGATCCGCCATACCTGGCCTGCCGTCTCCTCGCTGCTGCTTGCATATGTAAGTCTGGGGTTTAGTGGCGGAGTATTTTTGAGGGTGTGGGTTCCTTTAATAATGCTAATGGTAACTGATACTTGAACACCATATTTTGCTTTTGGCGGGGAAGAGAGGCATCTTACCTTTTTTTTTTTTTCTTTTTTTTAAAAAATATTTTATTTATTTAAGAGAGAGAGAGACAGAGCAGGAGCAGGATGGGTGGGGAGAGGGAGAGGGAGAGGGAGAGGGAGAGGCAGAGGCAGATTCCCTGCTGAGCAGGGGGCCTGATGCGGGACTCAATCCCAGGACCCTGGGATCATGACCTGAGCCGAAGGCAGATGCTTAACTGACTGAGCCACCCAGGCGCCCCACATCTTACCTTTTGAAGTAATTTCACCAAAGTCATTTAACCCTGAGAGATAAGTAAGGGTAAAGGTTATGGATGAGAGAAGTTTGAGTCTCTTTGTGGCTTTTGATGCCTCACATTCCTTCTACTCTTGAGTGTTCCAGAGTCCTGTTCCCCAGTCTATGTGACAGGTTGGTGCATGTCTTACATTTGTCTTACCAGATGTTTTGATTGGAGTCAACATCACTAGTTGTAACTGAACCCAGAAAAAACATCATTGCTGAGGACTTTATTTTTTGCTTCCCAGCTTTTTATTTTAAACCAGTTTAGAGGCTGAGGAAAGAGGCTTCTCTAGATTGTTGGGGTCCCAAGGTGTTATCCCTCAGCCCACAGTACCAGTGTTTCCTGCCACTGCCATTCTTTGCAGCCCATTCTAAGCAGCAGGCACCACACCAAACTGGCTTTTTCTCATTGGTGTTTCAGATTTCTTTCTCTCTCTCTCTCTCTCTCTCTCTTTTTTAAGATTTTATTTATTTGGAAGAGAGAGTGCGCGCGTGCGAGAGAGAAGGAGGGAGATCATGAACGGGGAAGGGTAGAGGGAGAAGCAGACTCCCCACTGAGCAGGGAGCCCGATGTGGGACTCGATCCCAGGACCCCGGGATCATGACCTGAGCCGAAGGCAGATGTTTAACTGACTGAGTTACCCAGGCGCCCCATATTTGGGTTTCTGAGGACAGAACCCGAGAGATCCCAGTTGATCCCTCTTTATTTTCCTTTTTCTCTCATGAGGTGGTAAGGAGGGATTCTGTGAAATCGCTGAAAAGGAGAGAAGATTGCTGTGAATTTACCCAATCTTGTGGAGCTAGTGTTTTAGCTGAGAAGTGGCCCAGAATTCCCTGTGTTCCTTAGCACTGTGCTGCCAGGGGCACTTAATTATACTCTGTTCTTTCCATATCTCTGCTTGCAAAAGTTTTGGCAGTATATGTAGTTTATCCACAGTGTTAAAAATAGACTGAGAGTACCTTGGAGTTAGCAAAAAAGGATTGTATGGTACACTGTGCTTCCTGACTTTAAGGAATTTGTTAAAGACAAATGTTAAAGGGAACCCCTCCACATGTAGCCCCAGGAGGAGGGAAGGTGGGTACTCAGCTGTATGTGTGTTAGGGTCTGGCCAGGAGAACTCAGGCCTGACTGAGTTCTCTAAAAAAAAGAAGAATTTTCTGATTATAAAATGTGTTCATTAGGGAGAAGATGAACTTATCCTCAATCACCCATAATCTACCACCAAAAGATGAACACCTTTAATAATTAAATCATGTCTTCATTTCTTTCTTGTATAGAATTGGCATCGTACTTTGCATATAACTTTATATTCTGCTTTTTAAATTTAGTATATCATGTTTTTTCCCCCTTTTTATGGAACGTTCTTCAAAAGAATCATTTTTTAAAGTAACGTCTTTTTTTTTTATAATTACTGTTATTTAAAGGGAATACA